ATGACTAAAATGCAATTCAAATAATATAAAAAGATACTAAAAAAATCCCTCCTTAAGATTTGAATAATGGATTAATGTAATTCTGACCATGTATTAGTTATAAAAATAATTAAAATTTTAGTAATTTTATACTATGTTATATAATTTATAAGTTAAACTGTAACTTCAAATTTATTAGGTATTGCGTCACTAATAATTACTAGAGAGTGATGGAACAGTTTTTTGTTTTTTAGGAAAGGTACTGCGTCACTACAGTTGAATTCACTACAATTATATGTTGCCATCAAGTGTGTCATACATTTCAGTACTCTACCCAGTAAACCCCTTACGCAAAAAGTCAAACAAATAAAATTAAAAATAAACTTTATACACAAATTGTACATATTCTTAATTTTTAATTCTTTCCCCGTGATCAATTCTCATAAATACTTGTGAATCCTGATTCACAACTTTTCAAGTTAGGCTTTGAAGTCGGTTCAAACAAACTTATGTTGGATACTTGAATTTGAAATTATATATAAAAAAAATATATATAAAAAAAAAAAAAAAATTAGTTCAAAATTTTAAATAAATATATTTCAAATCCATACAATATTGTTCAAGGATAATAGTGTTTATATACACCTACTTCAATAGAACAACCTTCACCAGAATGAATGAATAGAACATATGTAAAGAAGTTTGGAATCAAATTATTGGTTCGATTAATAATAAAAAAATAAAAACCATCTTAATTAAGGAGTCTGCAAAGAGAATCTTGGCGTTGTAAGCTGGTTGCTTATCCACATGCTCCCTTCGTCCACAGCCAGGGCACTTGTGGTCACCTTTTGGCCCACCACCAAACATCCTTCTCATTGGAAGTACCGGCAAAAGGTTGTCCGATGACACGAGCTGCCGCACTATTTGCTGTATCCATTCCACAGTATTCCCACTCCCCCACCTTATCTACCTGTAGTATCTATATATTTATGGTATAAAACTCCTTTATATTTGTTCGTATAAAACAACATTAATACCTTTTTATCAATAAAATAAAATAATATTAAAAATTCAGGCAGTGTAAAATTACCATTTTATACAATTTCCAAACTCACCCACAAAATTCAGGAAGCCACGCGTCGTTGGCTTCTCATAGATGCAATCATCTCTGCGGCGGTGAAGGGTTATGGTTGTCGACACAGTGAAGAGGAAGATTGGGAATTGCTGAAGAAGAAGGTGACGCGTGCACGCGTTAGATCTACACGCAATGAGGCGCGAGTCAAACGACGACGGTGAGGTTGGTGGCACTTTCGGAACGGCGACGGTGCAGTGACGGCGGCATAGTGATCTGAAGGCGTCGGAGGTGAGATCGGGTTGATGGAGGCGTCGTTGGTGGTGATGGTGACCCGATTCTGGGTACGGCACGGTGGTGGTAAGAAAACAGTGATGCAAGGAGTCCGGCAGTGATGAGGACGGTGAAGGCCAACGGGAACTGTCTCTTCACGGCGTTGATCTACAGTGGAGGACGGCCAGGAACCGGTCTGGATTTCCTATGAGCAAGTGCTTGTTGCAGTGAGCTTCTGGCGAATACGGAAGAGCTCGGCGAGCCGTCTTGCATCGCCGCCGATCAGAATCCTTGCTCGCCGACGTCTCGCATCGCCCGAGGGACTATTGGGTTCAAACCCAGTTTCACTCTCTCTCCCTTTTTTTTTTGGTTTTGTTTTTGTTTTTTTGGATAAATAGAAATGCAACTGGTGATGGCTTGGGGCTGGGGCTGGGGCTGGGGCTGGTGGCTTTGGGTGCAGCGACTATGGTGGTGGAGTAGTGATGTGGCAGCCGAGAGCCCCTTAGAAAGGGGCATAGTAGGAAAAGAAGGGTAAATTAGGGTTTTAAATTTTATTTTTTTTCAATCTTGACCGGTGGTAAGAAAGACTTATTTGTACAATTTTTTTTTAATTTTATAGAGCATTTTAAAAAAAGAAAAAGACTATTTGTGTAAAAAACCTATGTTACATAAGGTTTTCTGCACTTCATCCTAAGAAAAATGATAATACATAACTAATTCCAGAGTCAAATTAATCGGACTATTTTATGTAATTAGATAAGCTTAAAGTTAAATGCAAGTCGTTTGGATTCGATTTTCGGACTTTAAATCACAACCCTTGTATGTATGTATATAATATTGTTGGAGTCCATGCGGTCCTCCCCAGTTATTTACAAAACGTCTTTCATTTATTAGGCGCAAATAACTTTATTTATATTAAAAGGTAGTTGATAAATGCACCTCACTATATGGGTGCAATTTGAACGAGTTGAGCGAATTAAACGAGCGAATTAAACGATCTTAATTAGAGGTATGAGTAATGCTGTTTAAGTTCGGATTGAACTTAGTCTCGGATTAAAAAGAGTTAGTCAGAGCACCATCATGGTTGAGTTGATATATCAAATTCTTAGAAACAATCCTCCAAACCAAAGTACTAGTATATAATAAATTAAATTTTTAAATAAAGGAAATTAAAAAGAAAGTGGTGATTATAATTTGAAATATATATATATATATATATATATATATATATAATATTAAAATTTTAAAAAAAGAAAAGAAAAATAATTCAAGCTTAAATCGGACTTGAGTTGTTAGCATCTCAATTCAATATTTCAAGTCCAATCCTAACTAAATTTGAGTAGTGATTTTCCAACGCATATCTAAACTTGATTGTATGTTGGGCTTGGCTTAACCCGGCCAAATTACACTTTTAATTGCATTAATCATTTTTTTTAATTGGAAAAATGTTTTTCTAAAGCAAGAAATTAAACTACTAAACAAATAACCAACAAACACTGACCCTATGATAATTTATATGCTATATATAAGAAAATAACTTTAAAATTTTAGGAAAAAGAATAACTAAAATATATTTTATGAGATGACAACACAACGGAATAATTTATATGCTATGGATATTAATGAGATGACATCACACACTATCCACAAATAAATATGTATTAGACAATTTTCTTTGAAAAAACATATACTCTTGTTTTGTGACTTCGATCCAAAAATAACTATTGTATTCTGACATGTTCATTACAGTGCATTGATCTAAACTGAATTATGGGTTACTTTACAAAACAATTAAATAAATATAACTTTGATCATTGATTGTCTTTTTATTTGTCAGTCCACAAGTATTTATTAGAAACATAAGGATCCTTTCTTATCCTTTTACTTGTCTGTATTCCCTAATACCCGGTTCATGCTTCAGAACACGAATAAGGTAATAGACCAGCCCATTTCTTAGCTAACACCATAGTTCGCATTTGTAATATTGAACGTGATTGCGATGTAACGGATTTAAATAAATATTGGTATAAATCGATCAAATCAACTTATTTATAAAGATGTGTGATAGTATTATACCTTTAAAAAAAATGATACGAATCGAACGTTACGGTTAATCATGACTAAGACTTCATCTTTGTTTGTTCAAGGCTTTCCTTATTGCCTTTTGGAGGAAGCTCAGAAGGATTGTAATGAATGCTGCTTGGTGTTTTTTCCATAAGTTAATCATCTAATATGACTTGTTCTGAACACTATAAGTGGTATAGAAAATATATGACAAAAGAAAAGGAATTGTGGAGAAAATATTATCCACATGGAAAGGGTATTGACCATATATGTAGCGTTACCTGTATTATGACTCTTTATAAGTGATATTAGAGCAAATACTAGGCTAAGTAGTATAGACACAAACACGATACGATACGGATATGTCGATGCGTCAAATTTTTAAAAAGTAAGACACAAGTACAGCGCGGACACGACTATATATAAATATGAATTTTTATTTATATACATCTATTAAGTAATAGTATTAAAAACTTTAATTCATTTTTTATTTTTATACTAAGAATTGCTCCGATATGGTTTAAAAAATGAAATTATATCATTATTGTAATGATTTTTATATCATATATATCGTTATTCCACTGTTTTGTCATTATAATGTTTTTATTTTAAAGGAACAAGTAACATTTTATGTTTCACTTGTGATTATATATACAATGACATGTTTTCATATTATTTTCAAGATTAAAGTGTCGGCCTAAGTGTCTAAGAAGCTTCGGACATATATCCAAAGAGTGTCGGTGTACGATATGAATATGAAACGAGATGTCTCGTTCGTAAAAGTATTTGTGCTTTCTAGGCACTAATTTATTAATCTAGTATCACATCAAACAATTCCCCTATTTGAGTCCTTCTCTTGCCCCAACTTGGGTGGGCCACCTCACACCAACACAAGCCTAGCCCAATTTTTCACTATCTTGGGTTGAAAAATCTTAGCTATACTTAATTAGAATTAGTTTGAGGTGCTACCAACTCGGTCGAAGTTGAATGCTAATATTATTTTTCTACATTTTTAAAATTTTTAAAAATATATTACATATATAATATTCAAATTATAACCACTTTTTTTTTTTTTTAACTTTTGTTTAAATCTTAATTTATTATACGCTAACATTTTGGATAATTAAATTTATAAGAATTTGTTTATAATTTTTTCTAAAAAACTTGCATTAAGTAGTTTTTAAAAAAATTGTACTTAGGAGTAATCTAATTTGAAACTAAATAATGATTAATTTAAATTTTTAATTGATATTCTGAATTAACTTGATTTTCTTGCCCAAAATATTAACTTAAGTTTAAAATTTATAAATAAATTAACTTCGACTTAAATAATTAGAATTGAAGGTGAATTAAAATTAAACATTTTGTCTGTCAAGTTGAGGGGATACAATATAATTGGTATATCGAAATTCTCAATATTTTTAAGAGAGGAATCCAATACAAAGATACGGGCAAATTGGGATGAATGGGAGGTGAGACAAGAGTGGATGGAGATGGGATATGGTATGACGGATTATTTAATCGGGGACGGGATTAATTTATCCATGGATGATGGATTGGCAATATTATATAATAGGGTGATACAAGCAATGCAAGTAAACATTGTTTGAATCCACGTCGATATGCGCTGGTGAGTGCGCATTACGCCGTTACCGTCCTGCCTAAGCATCACATTAACCACGTTTATATATAGAGAGAGAAAACAAAGGATGGGAGAGAGGAGAGAGGAGAGAGGAGCCACCAGAGCTAGCGGGGATTACTAACTTTGTTCTTTTTCTCTTTCATGCAGAGAATCAGAAGGAATGAACATGAGCTCAACACCTTTCTTTCTCTCTCTAGAAATATCCACACCTTTCCGTGCTTCGCTCGCTTCAATCTGTTACTTCTCGTTGTCCGTTTGCTCTTTGAATCTGCGATTCACGTGAATGATGATGCTGTTTTGTTCCGTTTCGGTTTCTGATAAAGTTTAGACTCTGGATTGAGTGTGTCGTCGTCGTCTTCTTCTTTTACCTATTCGTACTGATTTGATGTGTTCGTAATCGTACCGCCATGGATGATACAGAGAGTTGCAGTAGTAGAGCGTCCGAATCGTCGCCGACTCAGAGCCGGAAGCGGAGGCAGAAGGTTGAGGTTTATCACGATGTTCTTCGAAGACTGAAGGATTCGAATAGTGAAGAGGCGAGTCAACCAGGTTTTGATGATGAGCTTTGGACTCACTTCAATCGACTTCCTGTTAGGTACTAAAACCCTAACTCTTTCTCGATTTTGTTTCTGAGTCTATAATTTTTATCTCCATTTAGTTGCCGATAGAACCGGGGAAAAATAGGATGGAAAAGAATTTGGAACTTTGATGATTTCATTCCAATTCTTTACTTTATGTTTCGCCGCGGTGGAAAAGTGACGGAAACAAGAAAGAAAACTCAAACTTTTTCTTTTTCTTTTTTCTATAGTTGTATACATAGCATATCCAATCACTCTTTTCATTTTATGCTTTACCTTCTGTTTGATCGCCGAGAGAATTGAGGAAGAAAGAATTTGCAAAAGGAATATTGAATTTAAAATTTGGCGTTCTTTGATTTCTAATAGAACTGAAGCTATTCCAATCTAGTACTCGCTGTTTGTAATCTTGTTTGGATAGGCATGTATCTATTGCTGGTTCTTTTTCCTTTCATATTGCTTATTGTAGTGATTGTATTTTGGCTATATTGAGATCTTTTAAATTTTACTCTAGTTATTATAGTTTGACAGGAATTTCAATTTAGTTTAGTTCCAAATGTGACTTTCGATTAGGTTTGGTAATACTGAGATGGTGATTACTGTGGTTGATTTCACTGAGTGATTTGACATTACTTATTATAGGTACGCACTGGATATGAATGTAGAGAGGGCTGAAGATGTTCTTATGCACAAGAAATTGTTGCATATTGCACATGACCCTGCTACCAGACCTGCCATTGAAGTCCGCCTTGTGCAGGTAAATTATGTGAGTTGCTGTCATTGATTCATTATAAGATCTCACACACATTCTAGTTCATTTTTTACTTGGGGTAGGTTCTTAGTGAGTGTTACTTTTGCAGGTTGAAATTATTTGAAATTTCTCAATTGTAACCTTGTCATCAGCTAGCCAACTTAGAAAGAAGGGCGTTCCTTTTTTCATTATCCTTCTTTAGTGCTTGAAATTTCGCTAGATTATACAGTTATATTTTTTTTTATTTTATCTTTTGGAATATTATTATTATTATTATTATTTGCTTAAGATGCCTCAATTCTTTTTGCAATCTCTTTACAGTTCAGAAGAACAACTTATTGATTACATTTTGAAGTAGGGATAGCTAAAATAAGCCACTTGCCTGCTATGAAACTTTTAATTATCAGACGAATTACAAAAATGAAAACAAAATTATTTATTTTATTAACTTAATTATTTTTGTTGGGGGAGGAGGCGGTTATATGTATTTTATGGTGGAAGTGGAGTTCCAGCTGGAAAGGGTAATTAAGCCCCAATTTACTTACATCGTCTAATGGATTTACCCCAGCTGAGCTGCTGCAATTTTGACTTTTGCTAAAATTGAGTTAACTTTACTCAAAATTATGAAATTCACAAACCTCAGGGCGTCCACCCTCTCAAGAAATTTACATTAGTTGATTGGATTTTCGACTATGTCTAAGTTTGAGAGCAGGGCCTCACATGATTATCATTGTCGCATGTTTATAATTAAGCCCCAATTTACTTACATCGTCTAATGGATTTACCCCAGCTGAGCTGCTGCAATTTTGACTTTTGCTAAATTTGAGTTTACTTTACTCAAAATTATGAAATTCACAAACCTCAGGGCGTCCGCCCTCTCAAGAAATTTACATTAGTTGATTGGATTTTCGACTATGTCTAAGTTTGGGAGCAGGGCCTCACATAATTATCATTGTCGCATGTTTATAAGATCAATCACGTTGTTAAGAAAAGTCATTTGCCATGCTTTATTTAGATTGAAATCAGAGTTTTGGGAGGATAGATTTAAATGATGGGTGGGATGCAACACAACAACAAAAGGTGGGTTGAAAGGTGCATATTGAGCATAGAGCCATTCGTCCTCTAATGGGTAGGGGTGCTATTTAGGGAAGTTTCCCCAAATGGTATTGTTTGTGTTGAATGAGATCCGATCCATCCCTCCGCGCCCGTGAAAGGTGTATAAGAGATATTTGTAACATATACAATTGTTTTTACACCCATGGGGTTCCAACAAGGATTCTCCAAAAAAAAACTTTTTGTTTTTTTTGGTAAGGTTAAAGTCTAGGGTCAATTCACTACTTGTCTTCCCACGTTTTCTCTTCCATCAAACTAACAATAGGAATAGAACATATTAGAATGAATGTGTTATCTTCACATAAAAAAATAAGTTCTACATTTTAAAAAGTGTATTAAAGATTTTCTGGTTCATAATTATTTGGACAAAGTTACCATTTATATTAATGATAGGCCTGATCACGGTTCGGATCGGTTCGGTTTGGGGGTAAAGATCAAGCCGAGCCGGTCCCCACGGATTGGTGAAAATTGAAACTGAACCGATTCGTGGGGGCCTTCAATCCGAACCAAACCAATCCGTGAAGTAACGGTCGGTTCGGATCGGTTTTCACGGATTGGGCTGATTGGGTTTTTCAAACAGATCCTCTTTCATACCCAAATCAACTTGATGTTCAATGGGTTATTGATTGGGGTTTTCATGATGTGTTAATTGAGGGATGCACATGTGGTGGCTAGTGGAGGTCAATTTCTGGCCGTCAATTGCAGTAGTTATAATAGATATATATATAATATAACATGGGTTGTCAATTTACAAAACAAAATTAAAATCATGTAAGGAGGAGAGGGCTTCAGCAATTGATTGAAGGCCAAAACACTCCCATCACTCTCACTGATGATTGTGAAAATTTAAGAAAAGCATACTCACTCTCACTCATAGTAATCAAACCCAGATTAAAATTTTTTTAGAGAGAGGAATATAAAAAAAAAAATTAATAAAAAAATAAAAAAATTAAAAGGGCTTTCTGGGATTTCATTGTGTGAAGAGCTTGAGGATCACAACATCCCCAAATGGGACTCTCCATCACCGGCGGCAAGCTGTTTTCATGTCCTTTCCCGATGAATTCCAGACATACTGGTAATCAAACAACAGTTAATGCATGCAATTAGTGGAAAACCATTACAAAAATTAATTTGTAAGAAGTAGATCAAGTTGAAGAAAAGAGGAGAATAAGAAAAAACAATTTACAAAAAATGTTCAGAGAAGAGGAGAATAAGAAGATCCATGCAAAAATCTTGTGAACTCACCGGAAAAGAGGTAGATCCAGTCGAAGAGGTCGCCGTTGCTTCGATACGCAGAGATCGCCGTTGCTTCGAATCTGGTGAACGATGGTTGAGAGGTGTTGGATTGAGAGGCGAAAGATTGGGAAGCGAGAGGAAGACAGAGGCGAAGAGTGTGAAGACTGAAGAGGGTGAAGAAAAGAGGCGCGACTGAAATGAGATAGGAGTAATGAATAGGCAAGGCTGAGTTAGGGTTAGGTTAACATTAAAAGAATAATGAATAAAGGAAAAAAAAAAAAAAGAAATACGGTATATTGTATATAAATATATATAATATTAATATATTATTTATTTAACGGTTCGGATTGGCAACGGTTCGGTTCGGATCGGTTTTTTCAGGGTCCAATCCGTTAACTGAACCGCGAACACCGGATTGCAAATTTTCCAAATCATCACCAAACAATGAGATTTGAAAACCGAACCGAACCATATGGATCGGATTGGTTCGGACCGGATTGACGGATTATTTGCTCACCCCTAATTAATGATGTGTTGAAAGAGAAAGAGAGAGAAAAAGAATATATGAAAACGTATATGTTATTGAGTGAGTAATACAATAATACAATGGTGTTTGTATAGGAGAAGCAACAGGAGTAGGTGAGTGGAGAACAAGTAAACCTTATACATGGTAATTCTATATATGGTAACGAGGGTAGGTGACAACTCATATAATACTACTGTACACGTGTGACAACTCATACAATACTAACTGTACAACACTCCCCCTCAAGCTGGAGAGTAAATGTCAATAACTCTCAGCTTGCTACATATGGAATTAACAGAATTCTTGGGAAGTGCCTTAGTGAAGATGTATGCCAGCTGTCTACCAGAAGGAACAAAAGGTGTAACAATCTCATTCGAGTCAACTTTAGATCGAATGAAATGGCAATTTATTTCAATGTGTTTAGTCCTCTCATGGTAGATTGGATTGCTAGCAATATGAATAGCTGCCTGATTGTCACAATGGAGAGGAATTGGGTATTGGACTGAAATCTCAAGTTCCTGTAAAAGAGTTTTCAACCAAGTAAGTTCACAGGTAGTGTGTGCCATGGCACGATACTCTACTTCAGCACTGGAATGTGCCACAACCGACTGTTTCTTACTCCTCCAAGTTACTAGATTTCCTTCTATGAAAGTGTAGTAACCCATGGTGGACCGTCGATCAGTAGAAGAACCGACCCAATCTGCATCTGTGTATCCCTCAATCCAAAGATGTCTAGAAGATCGATAAAGCAGACCACGTCCCGGAGCACCCTTGAGATACTTCAAGATGCTTACAACTGCCTCCATGTGAGGTACCCGAGGACTGGTTATGAACTGACTCACAACACTGACTGCATAGGAGATGTCTGGATGAGTGATTGTGAGATAAATAAGTTTACCTACAAGTCTCCAATACATCTCTGGATCATCGAGTGGGTCACCATCATCCACCTTAAGTTTTACATTAGTCTCCATAGGTGTAGCTACAGGTTTCGAACCAAGATATCCAGTTTCTGTAAGAGATCAAGAGTATACTTCCGCTGAGAAAGACTAATGCCTTGCGTCGACCGAGCCACCTTAATTCCTAGAAAATACCGAAGTTTGCCCAAATCCTTAGTAAGGAAGCTAGAACTCAAGTGATGGATTAGAACTTGTATTCTTTGTCACTGCTGGTGATAACGATATCATCTACATACACTACAAGAATCATAATACTATGTTTCGTTTTCTTAAAAAAAAGAGAGTGGTCAGCCTGGCTTTTGGTCATACCATGAGCTACCACTGCTTTATTAAACTTATCAAACCATGCACGAGGGGACTGTTTGAGGTCATAGATAGACTTCTTGAGATGACACACACCCTCCCTCTTATACTCAAACCCAGGTGGCTGAGTCATATAGGCTGTCTCAATAAGGTCACCATGCAGAAAGGCATTTTTAACATCAAGTTGATGAAGTGGTCAATCTAGATTAGTTGCAAGAGAGATTATCACACGAACATAATTCAGTTTGGCCACAGGAGAGAACGTCTCAGTATAATCAAGGCCACAAGTCTGAGTGTAGCCTTTAGCAACAAGTCGAGCTTTGAGACGGTCAATAATACCATCAAGCTTCTATTTAACAGTGAAAACCCAGACAACCAACAACCTAAGTATCAGCAGGCTTAGGAACAAGGTCCCAAGTATGATTCAATTTTAAAGCGTTTATTTCTTCTTCCATAGCTTTCCTCCACCCTAGATGAGAAAGTGCCACCCTGTAGGACTTAGGAAGAGCAATAGAGGATAATGACAAAGAAAAAGCTTGAAAGGAGGAGGACAATTTATTATACGATACAAAATTGGAGATAGGGTGATTGGTACAAGACCGTTTACCTTTCCGAACAACAATAGGTCGATCAAGATCAGAGTCCACAGGGATGGAAGAACAGGCGTTGAAGCGACTGGTGGAAGTGGCAAGGCTTGGTCTACTACTTCAGTCGTTGGAACATGATTAACTACTTTTTTTTTACGATGAGCATAGACACGTAGAGCTGGTGGGATGTCAGAATAAAAAACTGAAGTTGGAAGAACAAAGTCTTCCAGACGACTGCCTCCCTGGGAATAATAAGGAACATCTTCAAAGAAAGTTACATCTGCACACAAATTGTTTACGAAGAGTTAGACTGTAACATTTATATCCCTTTTGAGTGTGAGAATAACCTAAGAAAATACATTTGTGAGCACGAGGATCAAGTTTGTCTTGTCCCGGACTTAGATTATGAACAAAACAGACACACCCAAACACCTTTGGAGGAATGGAAAAAGGGTTTTTGTCAGAAAACTCCCAAACACCTTTGGAGGAATGGAAAAAGGGTTTTTGTCATAAAACATCATTTGAAAGGGTGATTTTCCTTGAAGGACTCTAGAAGGCATGCAGTTTAAAAGATAAGTAGCAACCAGAACTGCATTTGCCTAAAAATGTTTTGGAACGTGCATTTGAATTATTAAGGCACTAGTGATAGCTAGGGGTGGGCCATTCTTCCGTTCAGTAACTTCATTTTGTTGCGGGGTATCAACATAAGATGTTTGATGGATATGCCCCTCGATTCGAGAAACTTTTAAAAAACATTAAGTTTATATTCAAAGGCATTGTAAGTTCTAACAACAAGTATTTTTGCATCAAACCGATTTTGAATTTCAACATCTTAAACTCAAGTTAAACGTGAATAATCATCAATAAATGATACAAAATAACGAGCACCAAATAAACTAGTAGTACGAGCTGGTCCCCAAATATCCGAATGTACTAACTCAAAAGGTTTTAAAATTTTATTATCAAAACGAGACTTAAAAGTAGCCTGATGATGTTTACTAAGTTCGCAAGTAGTATAATTAAACTTAGAAATCAACTAAAGAGGGAATCAAGCCTTGAAGACTATTTGAAGAGGGATGTCCAAGGCGGCAATGCCACTGGTAAGCTGAAGAAGAGATGAAATGTAGAGCTGTCGGAGCAGTAGTTGGCTGGAAGTAGTAAAGAACATTATTCTCAAACCCCCCACCAATTGTCTTCTTCGTCTTGAGATCCTTAAAGACACAACGGGAAGGAGAAAAAGTAACTGAGCAATTTAAATCTAATATGATTTTGCAAATTGCTAATAAATTGAATGAAAATTGAGGGATATATAAAACTGATAAAAAAGTGAGACCTGAAGTGTGGAAGGTACCAATTCCATGAACAGGTGATTTGGCACCATTCGCTATAGTAACAATCGATGGTGAGAAAACATGAGAAATATCAGAAAGAAGAGATGGGTTGCCTGCCATGTGATCGGATGTCCCTGAATCAATGATCCAAGGTGTAGAAGATGAAGCATGGAGACACGTATTACCTGAAGTAATGATAGTAGCGATGGAGGAGGGCTGATTTGCAGGCTCAAGCTTTACCAGAGAATCATATTCGGCTTTGGAGAGAGTGACTTGTTCATTTGCAGGAGCGGGAATAGTCTCCTCTGAAACCGAAGCTTGATTAGCCCAAGTTGGCTTGCCATGAACACAATGAGTACACTTCTTGCTGCCGCGACCCCCTCTGCTGCCACGAGTACCACGGCCTGGGTTGGAAGGACCTCTGCCCCCTCGTCCTCCACGGAAAGTATCATGTCGCTCAGTAGGAACAACAAGAGTAGAGTGGTTGTCCTTCTCTATCAAGGGCATGAATAGATGCTCTTCGAACTCGAGCAAAAGTCTCACTTGCTCTGGGTATGCCAGACAAAATTTGCGAACTGATCGGAGTGAGTTCGGGTTTAAGTTCAGATAAAAATTTTGCCACCAAAAAATCCTCCCTGCGCCCTTTTTGTTGTTCTATGTCTGTAGTCAGTGATTGGTAGACATTCAATTTTTCCCACATGCCCTTCAGTTCTGAGTAATAATCTTCAACTAAACGTTCTCCCTGATGGAGATTAAAAATATCCTGATACAACTGATAAATACGAGAAAAATTCTTCTTTGAAGAATACATGTCCTTTAGATTTTCCTAGATATCTTTGGCAGATTCTAGGAATGACACGTTATTGAAGATATCAGGCTCCAAGCTGTTTCATAATCTGAGCATCTTCTTTCTCCCAAGCCTCAATAATCTTTTCATCACTGGTGGGTTTGGTTGATTTAAGATAAAACAGTTTTTCTTGAGCCCGTAAGAACACTTCTACGGCTCGAGACCATTGAAGGATGTTCGAGCCTTTTAGTTTGGTGCTGGTGATTGACCCAAGAAGATGGGATTCCTTAGTATCCATTATAAGAGCTACCGAACAAATGAGATATAGTAGCGAGCGGGATCCGAGATAAGAGAACCAAGATCTAGCCGAGAGGCCCGAGATGAACCCGAGAGAAATTATCGAGGAGAGAGCCGAGGAGGGATCCGAGAGAGATTGCCGAGACGAGAACTGAGATCACCGAGGAGAGATTGCCGAGAAGAGATTGCTGAGAGAAAGCCGAGATGGAATCAAGATCAAAGAGTCTGAATAAGACTAAAAAAAATATAAAATTTAAAGAGGGATCGATTTCCGCTCTGATACGATGTTGAGAGAGAGAGAGAGAGAGAAAGAGAATATATGAAAACGTATATGTTATTGAGTAAGTAATACAATAATGCAATAGTGTTTATATAGGAGATGCTACGGGAGTAGGTGAGTGGAGAATAAGTAAACCCTATGCATGGTAATTCTATATATGGAATGAGGGGTAGGTGACAACTCATACAATACTAACTGTACATGTGTGACAACTCATACAATATTGTACAACAGGGATTAGACTTTATTTTTACTGATTTTCTCTTTATATTCCATGGAATGCATTTGAATGTGCATATTCTTATTGTTCCGTGGCTTGACTTATGATTTATTAGCATAATTCATGAGGACTAATATTGGTTATTGTTATTTATATTATCTAAGCACATTGTTCTGCAATCAGTTTGGTTTTCATTTTTTTCCACATTGCGAGGATGGATTTGAATTAAAGCATTGGAGGTTCATTAAAACCTAAAAGTTATACATTTTTGGTCTTGGTAATGTAAAATATATACTTGTAACTTTTTTTCGTGTAGGAACAACTTGATATTTTTATTTCTTTTTCGAGCCAGTTGATTTTTCTGATAAACTTCCTGCTGGATTGCATGGATGCTGAAGCTGTCTTTTTCTGTTTCTTGTTTAACATTGCCTTGTTCATCCATATTCAATTGTTGGAAATTGATATCACTTTTCTTTACTGGTCCTTCGATTAGGCCCATAACTTCTTTACTCGGTCAAAAACATCCGGGCAATTTCTCACTTTGTGCAGGTTCCCTCTGTCTCTGATGGGAATTGTGGCGATTCTGTTCATTCCAGCTTTACAGAAAGAGTGGATGCTCGAAATTCTGATAATCCTGACAGGCAAAGGCATGATTATATGAATATTTATCCAAAACTACCTTTTTTGTCTTGCTACTATCGATTTCTGATACAGAGTATATCTAAAGAATATTAGGTAAATATTTCACTTTTTTTAATTTTCAGTATTCATCCACCACCTGCCTTTGGGTTGTCACCATGTCTTGAACTTGCACGCGAAGCCAACAAATCCCATGTTCTTCAAGATGGAGTCAGTCCTATGGGTGCCAATCTGCACTTATTTCGGTAAATACTTCTGAGAGGTCTGCACCTGATTGAGCTTTACTTTAAAAAATTTATGATGTCCTTAAACATTATAGTCTTTTAAACATTTAAAACTGTCATTACATTGAACTTAGAGATTCAGATTAGTAGACAGTTGAAAAAAAAGGAATTTACCAAGGGCGTTGTAGCCTAGTGGTATCTCCTCTCCTCTACCTCCCAAAGTGGATGGTGAGGGTTCAAGTCCCCATAGGGGCAAATGGGTGCTTGAGTTTCTTGCGAAGGAAAAAAAAAAGGAATTTGTGCTGCTGCTTAAGAATAATATCTGATGTGTTTACCGATCTCTATAATTCTTTAGAATAGATGGAGGATGCAGTAATGCTGGTTTAAAAACTATAATTACTCAATACGCAAGGGGAGCTGAAGCACTAAATTGATGGTGCTTAGTGGAGCAAAGCTATGGGATTGCCACCCCCCAAAGGGGGGCCATAACAGCATTCAGTGATGCTTCATCTAACAACGACCACTGCTTCCCTTGGGAGCATTGTGTCAGAGCCCTTGAAGTGCATCATTGAAGAACAGAGAAGCAATGAATAGATATGTTTCTTTTTTAAAAGGGATAAAAGACCTAAACAAATTGGATAGTTAGTGAGTTGGTATCCTATGTGAAAAGGCATTATTGTGATTGTGGACCATAACACACTGGCATACGTAAGGGCTAGAAGAAAACAATATGATAAATATGTGTGTTTTCCCTGACAGTTGCAGAGAAGGTAAGTTTCGCAATAAAACATAACATACATACAATGCCATGGCATGTATGATGCACAAGAACATCTGACGACATTTGACACCCACATGGTCTAAGCGTGGTAGAAACGAAATGGTTACCAAGTTTTTCAGAGTAGATTGTAGAATAAAGGTTTTCAGATTCCATTCCCCTTATCAATAGGATTGTGAATTTGACAAAATTTGTGGTAGATCCTGTATGATGATAGCAATAAACATGTCACAATGCTAAGGAATCTGTCCTGATTTTCGTAAAGAATCATTGACTTTATTGTTTGGTGCTTCATGCTTAATGTGGGCATTGGGAGATTCATATCTCATTCTATACCAGAGGCTATATGCTTCACTAGAGATTCAAACCTATCTCTCATTTGATACTACGTCATAGGCTTCCACTATGACAGAAGTGTTATATTGTCATATAGCGTACTCTTTTTTTTTTGATAAATAATCATATAGCGTACTTTAAATGATCATTTTACACAATTATCTATTACATCTTAGTTGCTAGTCCCCAACCTTTTTTTTTTTTTGAAATAAGCATTTATTTTTCTTGCACACGAATCATTTTTATCTAAGAAGTCATTTCGAAGTCCTCACCAAATTCTTTCCTAATATTAACTTTTCATCAACCTGAGCAATTTGAACTACTTTTGGTGCCTAAATTATGCTTAAATCTTGAATACGCCATTATTTTCAAACCCCATTCCTGGAGTTATTCATACGAGATGCTCCACCAGTTCCTCACCAATCACATGTACTTAAATCTATCATTAATTGTTCTTATCTCTGATGAGTCTTATGATTTTTTTACCTTTTATCAGCAGTGTACTTATATCTTTATTTGGTGTGAATGAAAAATAATTTTTTCATAAAATCTGTAATAGTCTTGAATCACATTGATTTCTTTAATTGCTGAATGACCCTGTGGAGTCTTCATCAGTGACATATTAATAATTTCAAACTACTGCAGGTCTTTGCATAAAATTACGGTTTCAAAAAATGACAAATCAAACTCCTCAGTCATGTGAATCCATCTTATCAAAGAAGCTATTTTGACCAAATTTGTTCCTACAATTAGCATTATTAGCTTGTCTTTTTTCATCTACCTGAGGATTTTGAACTACTTTTGATGCCTAATTGTGCTTATATCTTGAATATGATATCATGTTCAGATCTCATACCTCAGATATTCATACTAGATGTTCCACCAATTACTCACCAATTACATGTACTTAAATCTATCATTAATTCTTTTTATTGCTTAAGAGTAATGATTTTTATACCTTTTATCACTGGTATACTTGTATCTTTATTTGATGCAAATGAAAATTATTTTTTCATAATATCTCTAATAGTCATGAATCATGTTGATTTCTTTAATTGCTGAATGATTCTATGGAGTCTTCATCAGGTGACATATTAATACTTTCAAACTACTGCAGGCACGAAATTACAATTTCAACAAATGACAAGCCAAAACTCCTGAGTCAGGTAGCTGAATTTTGTTATATTCTAACATGTGAATCCTTTTGCATTGTTTCAAACTTTTGGTGGAAATTCTTTATATTCTAAAGACACGCACATTTTGCAGCATCGTAACTTTTCTCAGGATGCGTTTGTTTCATAGCTTAAGAACAGTTCCTACTCTTCCTAGGCATTTTTTACAGTATATACAATGCAGTCAGATATCCCCAGTTGTTTAGCTCGATCAGTATCTCCTATCACCCCATGAGGAGGTACACTGTTACAACAAACATAGCGAACCCAAGAAACACGACAGAAAATTAAGCGCACCACAAACAAAGAACACAAAGATTTGGTGTGGTTCGAAACATCGTGTCTACGTCCACGGTGAAGATCCAGTGAAAGTTTTCACTATCCGAAAAGCATGGGATAATAAGTTTCAGCCCTCAAACCCTAGCTCTCGCTGTCACTCTCTTTCTCTTTGATTTTTCAGTGTCTCTCATTATCCCTTCCAAATCCTAAACGCCCTAATATATTGGGCTACAAGAGAGTACTAAACAGGGTCCACGGCCTACAAGACAAAATGGGTCAAAACGGGTTGCAACATGACCCAGAACCAAATTCGGGCCACAACATCACAGGTTCATTCCAGTTGAGATATGGGCAAGTGAATAAAAATAAAAATAAAATAAAATAAAGAAGAGATGCTTTGCAGACACACGATGAACAATTATGATGCATATGATTTTCTAAATAAGTAATAAGGGGGGTTTTTATTTTAAAACAGGATATCATCTTTCTTATAATTATAACTATTAGTAGTTATTGAAGGCCTTCTCTAGTTTGTTACATAGATCTGCAGCTGCCTTGATCTGGTTAGAATCAGTTGCAATCTGAAAACAAACAAACAAACAAACAAACAAAAAATGAAGAAAAGAAAAGAAAGAAAGAAAAAAGAAGAAACAAAATGGAATGACCCTAAGGTTGTAATTCAATTGAATTTTTTTATTTTTTCTTTGTAAATTTTTTCATACGTGTATAATCAAGACCACAAGCATTTGAGACCTTACCCCTCCCCTCCTCATTTTTGGTTTTAATCTATCGTAGTATGGAAACTATAGAAAGCATGAATGGTTGTCCCTACGAAAAACCTTCTTCTCTAATTCCCAACTGAATGGCCATTCCCTTCTTCCAATTTATACCTGCTGCGTCATTCAAAGACAATTGTGATCAGTAACTTGCTGATATTTTATTTCTTTCATTTTTTATCTCATCATGTACAAATGTTGAAATAGTAATAAAAGAGCAACATTTTAAGTTTAGTACGATATTGCGTGGGCAAACAATTTTTTAAAGAGATGTAACTTCCATTATCTGCACTACTTTTATCTCATTTGAAGTTTTCTCTGATCATTTTGTAGCATGAAGCATTGTTGCCCCCTGTAGATGCAAAATTCTGTTGCGACTGGGAACTGTGCCCTCTCTGATTACTCCTCTTTTCTTTCTAGATACCACACCATTCCTGGTCGCAACGGAATCCTGCATCAACACCCCCTTACTGCCATCTTATAAAGTTTCCTTCTGGTAGTTACCTAAACAAAACAAAACAAAACAAAACGATAACTACCAAAACATTTGACAACCATCATTCGTAAGCATCTCGCCACTTCTTTATTTTTATTTATTCTCTCTCTCTCTCTCTCTCTCTCTCTCTTGATGATATCCTGCTTACATTCTGGGTATGACATTGCTTTTTTTGTTTTTGTTTTTTGAGTTATGTTATATAGGCCCAGCATTTCAGCTGAACTGTGGGCCTATCACATGGCAGCCGTAGGATGCAACAGAAATGGGACCCATGTGGTTGAAATGCTCCTAGTTCTTGATGTATGCATGTTGTGATCGGATCATCGGAGTATCATTTGCTTCACATATAGAAGCGCTTTTTATAAGAATATGAAGACCACATGGAATTCATACTGTAGTATTAGTCATGTAATTGAAAATAGTTCCCATGGCTCATTTGTAGTCTGAAGCCAAATTAAGTTTGTGATATTCTTTTTCGTATTTGAATTTTATGTATCACCCGCTCGCAACTTTGGATATCTTTTTCAGTCCTATTTGTTATCTAATGCTTCTCTAGCTAAAGATCCTAAATCTTAGAGAAACTATTATCTTGGAACTTTTCCTGATGTCCCTTTTTTAAGATTTCAACCATCGGGAGTTAAATCTTATAAGAATCTTATAGAGGTACCTCAATTTTGATACTTTTAACATGCTCCAATTCTATACATGTTTAATGCTCTCATCCTGGCATGTCTTTCTTACTATTCAAGCAAACTTTTAGATTGCCCTGAGAGATGACTTTACTGTAATTGGTGCTTCTCATTTGGCTTCTTTTTCTGAAAATCCATCTCTGAGTCTGTGATATATGACAAACTAATTTGCACTATCTATAAGAAGTCTAATTGTGATAATGTTCCTCATTCTACTTGTTAAATATCCTTAGTTTTAAATTTTCAGTTGACTTCGTTGCTTTCTGAGATTGGGTTGAACATTCAAGAGGCACATGCTTTTTCCACTATAGATGGTTACTCCTTGGACGTTTTTGTTGTTGATGGTTGGGCAAATGAGGTACTTCTTTCTCTTACCCTTCCTTTTAAAGAAAACACTAGTGGACCCTGGTAACTGGATGCATCTAATATGCTGGCAAAATCATGTTCATGTCTCAGTACTTGGTTGCCTTTTAACACAGTCCTCTTTATGATGTGTAGTGAAATTCGATGAGAGAGAACTTAAATCGTCAAACATACTGACTATTTCTATCTTCTAAATGGTTTGGAAGTTTTTCTTATTGTTAATTGTATTTTGAAAATTCCTGTCAACTGTGGTTCAGAATGCATATAAAGCCTGATATTTCAGAGGAATGTGAACAAGGAAAGTACTTGCTGATTCATTAAGAAAGTGAGATTCTTCCTTCAATATATTAGAGCATCTTTTGAATGTATATGCTATAGGCTAATGGTCATTACCCAGAGCTGATCCTGTCTATGCTGGGAGGGGTATACTGGAAATGTTATCTTTAGCATTATTTTATACAAGGTGGCTGCATGTTTTGATGTGTTTGAGCGTAGGAGATCGTTGTAGCCAGTCCTTTCATAAACGGTACAAAAACTTGAAAAATATAAATGTGGAATATTGCCAGACTAATTTGCACAGATATTATTAACATTTTGGATAATCTGGTATAACTACTTTTGGTTCTTCACATAGAGTTGGAATATGGTGTATATTTTATGGTACAATTAGCACTACACTTGAAGGGTATTCTGGTACCAAGTCCCTCTGCGGAAATTCAGTCATTACACTTTAACATCCATGTATTGTCAGTCACCTTTTTAAATTAAATAGCATAAGAATTGTTGCTTAGTCTGTTACCACTTAGTTGGGATTTTGAATGCACATGTATTTCTGTCTTGGTTTGCAATTTTTTAAAAACCGAAACAAGTTAAAAAGAACATTATTTAGGTAATTGTAGATGAAGTGACTATTATATAGAGAAGTGCATAACTAGTTCCAAAGGTGAAATGAAAGAGAACCTTACATTGCAATATACATTGCACTATTGCAGTACTGTAAAATTATGCTTTTGAGGTTCCCAGACCATTCCTTCCCGCTTCTTCATTCTTTGATTGCTTTCAATCCCCTGATGTTACGAGCTCCTTAATTTATTGCACATCTTTTCTCTTGCTTATTTTTCCTTTGCTAAATTATTCAATTTCTACTATTGTGTGATTGATATCTGTACTTTTATGAGCTCCTTAATTGTTTATTGCACATTGGTTATGAACTCTCAATTTTAAATTTTTGAATGCTTTAAAAAATCTTGACTGATTCACTTTTGCGCTGGAACTTTTTAGGAAACTGAGCAGCTTAAAAATGTATTGGTAAAGGAAATCCCAAAGGTTGAGGTAGCTGGTCGACATGCTACTTGTCAATTATAATTTATAATTTGCAATGCATTTACTTACATCGTATTTTTGAAGTGCATTGCAGAAGCTGTCTTGGTTGCACCGTCAATTCTCTTCTTCTGGGGAGTTGGGGCAAAGTGGGAACAAACTTATTTCTAACCAAGTAAGCATACCCAATGATGGGATTGATGATTGGGAACTTGATGCTGAGCTGTTGAAATTTGAACACAAAATTGCTGCTGGATCATATGGCGAGTTGTGAGTTTTACTATTTCTTACATCATCAGTCTGATCGTCTATCGGTGCTTGTTCAATAGTATGTTTTAATTGGCACAGGTATAAAGGTACCTTCCATAGTCAGGATGTGGCTATCAAGGTCCTCAAGGCTGAGTATATGAATGAGGATGTACGAAAAGATTTTGCTCAAGAAGTCTATATATTGAGGTTTGTTACATTTTATACTTCTGATTCCTTTCAACTCTGCTATACCTTTTTAAAGTTAACAAACTACTTATCAGTATAGGTTTTATAGCAGTGTTAATTTTTTCTAAAATTGAGCTTGCTTTTTGGTCTGTCAGTGATATCCACTTACATGTCTCAGATTTTCTTTATCGTGGATGTGTGGTACAGTTGCATTTCCTTCAGATAGTATTGGTTGTCTTCCGGAACAAATGGACCAGGGCATATAAGTAACAGTACTATTGCAAATAAACATCTGAAGAAGAATCATATGATGTTAATGTTCCATATTGATGTCCATTATAGTATGGCAAACTGCATCCACCATGAAATATGTGATTTTGCCCCCCATTACCATTCAGTTCACTTGTAATGCAAGATGACACCAATTGATTATTGACAATTGGTTTTGTAATTTTTTTTATTTTATTTTTTATCAGACTTTAGTGACACAATTTATGAAATATGAAAAAGGCACTGACTTAAGTTATTAATGCACTATTTCTTGAGAATGCATATGTTATTGTTATCTGGAAGATGATAAGCTTTGACCATGGTGGTTAATATATTAAATTAAGACAAAATATTACTGGTGGAATGCTGGAACCACGTGAAAGTCTCTTCAAGTTTCCAATGAATACTTTATGTCCAGTCAGATAGATTTTGTAATACTTTTTGGCTGTGCCATGCTTTGTCTTTCCTTTCAATTATGCCCTTAATGGCTGTATCCCTTTCTTGTTTTGCCCTTAATGGTTGTATGCCTTCATTATTTTACTTTTTTTCTTGAGTTTATAGAAGAAATGTTTCCCTTTTCCTCTTGTATAACTTTTTCCTCTTTTCTATAAAATTACTTTTTATCTCTTGTAAATAAAAAATTACATTGTTCCTGTATTGCATCTACAAAAATATTTACCTTGATATGTTCATTGCATAATAAAATGTCGGTACCTGTATAATGTTAATATTTATGGAATGTTAAACATCTGTCTGCATCATTCTGTTAATTTTTCCGCCTCTGTGAAATCTTTTGTTGAACTTTCAGGAAAGTTCGGCACAAGAATGTTGTGCAATTTATTGGTGCGTGCACGAGACCTCCAATCCTATGTATCGTGACTGGTAATTTTAAATTACCATATTTTTTTTTTAGTAATTTGAGCTGTTCATTTCCCTGTTCTTTGTGGATTATCTTTCGTGACTTTTAATTTCAAATAGAGTGTTGCTTGTTTGTTCACTTGTCTATTTTGCTTGTTGCTTTTTATTTCAGAATTCATGCCTGGTGGAAGTGTTTATGACTACTTGCACAAACAAAAGGGCATCTTCAAGCTCCCAGCTTTAGTCAAAGTAGCAATTGATGTTTCAAAAGGAATGAACTATTTGCACCAGAATAATATAATACACAGGGACCTTAAGGCTGCCAATCTTTTAATGGATGAAAATGAAGTAAGAAATTCCAGGTCTCCTGCGTATGTCTTTGTTTTTTGTTATCTGGATATTGACTTATTTTATCTATTACTGTTAGTTAGATTTACTTCTTGGTGAATAAGTTGCAATTCTTACACCCATCACTATCAGTAAAAGCTTAAGCTTATAGAGAGGGTGCAACTTTAATATTTATACCTTCAACACGCCCCCTCACGTGTGGTCTTCTTTTTGGTCCTACGCGTGTTTTTCAAATTTTAATTAGGGTGACGGTGAGATTTGAACTTGAGACCTTTGGCTCTGATACCATGTTAACTACCCATCTACTCTAAAAGCTTAAGCTAATAGAGAGGGTGCAACTTTAATATATATATCTTTCAGAACATTATGCATACTGAATATCTCATTGGTCAGATATCAATATCCCTACGATCCATGTGCTCACCTTTTGTTTTAGAAGACATTACAACAAAACTCTAATATTGGGAGTGGAACATTGATGGAACAGATCATGATATCTGATTAATTAGATATTTGGCCAGCATGATGATCCATTGTGAGAGGCTTGGAAAATGTAGGTCCCACAGAGAAGTTATCGAGGGTGTGTACATCGGGGTTTATCCCGACTCTGATTATTTTTAAATTGCATATAGTAGGTGCCCACGATCAGCATGGCATTTTTATTGTAAATGTTATTGCATTTAAACCTGTCTGTTCTGCTTTTTTCAGACAGACGGGCTTTAGATATTATTTTGTGTGCTTTTCTTGTCTATTTCAAATGCATGTTTGGGATAAGAGGAGTTATTGTTGGTCCAAACAGATTAAGAGATTCCATAATTTAATGCTAAGAATAGCTAGGATTTTCAGAAGAAGATGCTATTCGTTTCCATAATATTGAAAAATTCAAGTGGCTGAAGCTGAAGTTTCTCTGTAGTATTAATTGCTATTTTCATCTTGCATGTTTTTTTAACATAACCTTTGTTACTTCTTGTTTTCCTACGAATATTATTTTATTATGGCATTGTGTAATGGCATGTTTTATTGATAATAGCACTATCAAGTTTACATGTGATACCTTCCATGCATAGCTTCTCATGCTAGTTCTAGTTTTCAGTCTCTATAAAATATCCAATGCCCCGTCTGACAGGTTGTTAAGGTTGCTGATTTTGGTGTTGCCAGAGTGCAATCTCAAAATGGAGTGATGACTGCAGAAACTGGAACATATCGTTGGATGGCTCCAGAGGTTGCTGTTCTGCAAAAGCTTTTGTATTTGACTCATTTTTTACTAATTCAAATCTAGATTCCCTGCCAGTTTTAAAGCCCCACTTAATTCAAATAGCAACCCGAGATTGTGAATCCCATTTGAATTATAAAAATATCGTCGTTGAGTATACAAAGTAACTTACCCCCATCTGACATTTGCTTATTTTGTTTTGATGCTTGAAAGGTTATTGAACACAAACCATATGATCACAAGGCTGATGTTTTCAGTTTCGGAATTGTACTTTGGGAGCTGCTAACAGGAAAGGTTCAATCACTTGCAACTCATTTTTCTCTTTGGTTAGAAGTTATGAAGAATATATTTTTTTTCCTCGAACTAGAATGCATTGTTCTGTTATGTATCATTTTACATCTGTGTGCCACTTTTATTAGGTTACAGTTGCACATACTTGACCATGCAATAATCTGACGACCTATTTTGACTGATATGCCAGATTCCTCACGAAAATTTAACCCCATTACAAGCGGCGGTTGGCGTTGTCCAAAAGGTAACAGTGGAAGACTCGTAAATCTTTTTTCCCCCTTTATGTAACATGTAATGTAGGATTGAGTACTCTAGTTTTACTCATGAATTAAAAAATTGTTTCTAGGCAGTTAAACAGCAGGACAAATTTCATGGTTAGTGCTTGTAAAGGACAGTTAGTTAAACATTCTAATTTACTCAATTGAGGGTTAGGTTCGAGGGAATTAAGAAATAAAGGACATATCTAAACAGTTTTACATAAATACACTTCTTTGAAGGTTGAGGTCAGAAGGATGTAGCTTTTTTTCCACGAGGGGTGATGGATTAAAATTTCTTTCCCAAAGTAGTACATATTTTTATTTCTTTCATGGAATGTTGTAGGTGTCTCTTTTCCTTTGGGGGTTAGCTTTTTAACTGTTCTAAGTGACATGAAATTCAGGGTTTGAGGCCTAAGATACCGAGGGACACTCATCCGGAGATTGTGGAATTGCTCGAGAGATGTTGGCAGCAAGATCCATCTTTGAGACCAGAATTTTCCGAGATAATAGAGATCTTGCAGCAGATGGCCAAGAAGGTATAGAAAATTTGTGTGACATTTCTCACTTGTACGTAATTTACCAATAAATTTACTTCATTTTTACTTTGAATAGGTCGCAGAATAAGAAAAGACTGGTGATAGGAGAAATTTGCATACTCCCAGATGGGTGAACAGTAGCCACCGAAGAGAAAGAGAGTAACGATTCTGTATGATGTTTTGTATCATTTGTTGTTTCCTTTTGTATAAATATCATTTGTTGTTTCCTTTCGCAGCCTTCTACTTTATCATGAAGATATTCTATTTTGATCATGTGTATCTTGGATGGTGTAATTGGGTACGAGAAGCCAAGGCTCAAATGTCAAAAAGTAACATAATTTTGTTAGTCTTGGAGAGAACAAAAGATAGAGAATGTTTATATCCTTTGAGAAAGAGAAGTGAAATGAAAGGAAGGGAAATTTTTGGCTGGAGTTTTTTGTAAAGAAGGAAAAAAAAAAAAAAAAAAATGGAATGTGAAATTCGATAGTAGCTTCTTTTATTAGGAAGTTCATAGGAATAAATAAATAAATAATTCATTTGGTTACAGGAAGGTGAAAATGGTACATGTTATTTTATAAGGATTGGGGATGGTACAGGTGCTGGTCTAGCTCATTTTCGTTTTCCTTCTTTTCTTCCTATTTTTAGATGTGGTGGTGGGGCCGTCTGATGGATGATCCAACTACCCTGGGATATTCTAGGACAACTAAAAAAAAGTGAGGTTGGAGCCTTGGGGGTTTCTGTTTCTTTCCCCGCCCAATTTCTTTTGAATAATCATGATGTCCTCTCCTCGGTTGACCTTTGCATTTCCTTTTTCGAACATGATAGGGCCTTGTGGTGTGTTATGCAATTATAGAAGAGAAGAGAATCTTAGATGTTGAATAAATAACCCATGTGCCTTGCTCGCGGCCACCCACTTTTAAAACATTGGTCGTTGGTTTAGTTAAAAAGTAGAGAAGAGAATCTTCTTTCCTGATTGAAGTTGCTATAGAATTAGAAGCGAGATAAGAGGAAAAAAATGTGTAGAAAAAAATTGGAGGATAAAATTTGATGGCACTGGGATTGTGATACGTGACAGTGCGTGGAATAAATGTAGCTTGACAAGACCAATCTGAAGATTGGTGTTCGAAGTTCTAACAATAGGGTCAAGTGCTTGAACATATTTGTTCAAGTTAGTAGCTGGCATAATTATTCTGAACCCAAAAGTTTAGTCCAAGAATCAGCTTGCTCTGAAAATGAGGCTCTTGAAAAAATAGTTCGTTGTAAAAGATTAGGCTCCCGAGGGATTATGTCATAAAATAGGCTCTCGAGGTGATACTACCAGGAGAAGTGGTTCCTGCAAAATTAGAGGTTTTCAGACGGTATTTATTATAAGAGCTTGAATTAAGCCGCAACTCACTTCAGATGGAGAGTGTAGGTGCAACACAAAAACTTGCTTGGGGTTTGATTAACTATCTCATTTGTGTCTGATATTAAAAAAATGTAGTTCAATTTTGAATTAAAATCATTTACAAATTCAATTCAAAGGTGTGGATGCTTTCAAACTATAGCTTAAATCTCTATTACAAAAGCTTTACTTGAGCTTAGAAATAACACTTTTGCTTTTGGATATCTGCCTTTTCCCCTTTGCTATTATTCACGAGTGTCAAAGTTTTCCTTGGTTGTAGGAACGCACATGTGCACTACGCTTACTTATATACAGGGAACAGTTGACTCCCATGCGACGATGATGAGAAATTATTTCAGTGGCCGAGATTACATGGTTATCATTATCTTATTTTATAAATAGTCTCTTTACAATTTCGATATAAATGACCTATCACCCAATAAATTTTGTGTGAAGGGGCAATGGAAATTTTTTAATTTTTGTAATTTCAAGGGAGCAATAGTAAAATTTCATTCATATATAATTCAAAAAATAAAAAATCACTACCATATAATCCTAAAAAAAAAAAATCAGTCGGAAACCGGCCCCATTGCCTATACACTGGTTGCCATGTGAAGCGTTATCACATTGTTAATACATATAAAATTGTACATTCCTAAAATTATCACCAAATCGTGAGGTGGATTGGTCACGTCAAACCTTTAAGAAAAAGAAAAATTTCTATTTGAGCACCCGTTATAAACCAAAACTCCATTTTTCAAAAAAACTTGTAAGTAATTTGGAGATCTTGTAAGTCTACTACTTTCACTTTCTCTAGACTTTGTAGGCTTGAGATTCCATCTCATAGACCACAAAAATTTATACAAGACATTATCGAAACTATATAATAAAACAAAAATAAAACCTCCAATTTCTTCGATTCCTCTGAGGGTTCGTTTAGTTAAATAAAAATTTACGATGAAAAATGAAAGTGAAAGAAACTGAAGGAAAGGAAGAGAAAAATCAAGTTTTCAGTGTGCATTTGGTTAGGAGGAGAAAATGATTCTATTACCAAAACTACCCTTAAGAATTTAAATATTTTAAAATAAAATAAAATTGTGTTTGATGAATCACCTTATAATGCCTAATGGTCTATATCTATTTTTAACAAAAAATAAAAAGTAAAATAATATATTATTAAAAATAATAAAATAATTATTTCTATTAATATTTAAATTGTATACACAACAATTGTAAAACTCAAATATCATGGTCGTAAGTTTCCAATCAAACTAAGAACCCCAATAGCCTATAACACCAATACTAACCCTAATTTTTCAATAAAACTAAAAAACATATATGTATACTACTCGATCTCAATCATTATTAAATAATTATAATAAAAAATTAATTTTATATGCATATGTAGAAATATAAATAACTAAATAAGTATTATACCAATTTAAAGAAGAAAATCTACCTCTGCGTGAAGTTTGTAGAGAAAGTGAAAAGTGGAAAGGGAGAAACAGCTGATAGGGGCACAAGAGGAAAGAAAGATGCAAAGTGGCTAAGTTTTGCGAGAAAGTAAATTTTTGCATGTTTTGTACGAGTTAGTTTGGTTATCATGAATTAGCGAGAAAGGAAAAGAAACAGGAAATTTTTAAAATTTTTAACAGTTTGGTTAGCGTAAAAAGGAAAGTTTTCAGGAAAGAAATATTTTCGCAACTGCTTGATTTTCCTCAAAATGTTTATAGGAAAGTAATATTTTTGCAACTGCTTGATTTTCCTCAAAATGTTTCTTCCATAAAAGACACGAAAATTTTAGTTTCACCTAATATTCCTAATTTGGTTACAACTCTTCTACTCATTAAATTAAAATTCTTTGCTACACTTACAAAACAAAGTACTCTAATCTAATAGCAGTCCTAATATATAATGCAAACTTCCCAAAACAATAAATAAAAAAAAAGCTATATAAAGAGATTAATACCAAATACGTATGTAGACAATATATATATTTATGTATCTGGACATATATATTTATTCATAAATCCAATTGTATATATTATTATTATTTTATTATTAAATTCACAAGGGTAATTTAATTGTATATATTATTTTACTACTATTATTATTATTTTAATTATATATTATTATTATTATTATTAAATTCATAAGGGTAATTTTGACATGTAAAATTATTTTCCTTTCAATCTCTTATTATTCAAACTAATTAAACAAAATTTTCTTACAAGTTTCTTCAAAAAAAATTTTACTAATCAAATACATAATAAAAAATTAATTTTCTTTTCTTTTACTTCACTTTCTTTTCTTTCACTTTCCATCATCAATTTCTACCTAACCAAATAGACCATACGAGAAATTTTTTGAGAAAAATTCACAACATGCGAGAATTCTATTTTCTCAAAAGTTTTTACTTTCTAAGTAACCAAACGCATACAAATTTTAGAATTTTTTCTTTTCTTTCCTTTCTAATTAGTTCTTGCTAACCAAAGGGGACCTAAGTCTTACCTTTTAAGAAGTCTAATGTGATGTCACGGTTGAAGGACTTTTTCGGAGAAAAGAATCGGTTGATCTGTAACCCCTCTAACTTATTATGTAAATATGTGCGGGACCCATTCGTATTTCGAATTCCATGTTTTGGATACGCATTTAATAATGAATATGTGGCATGGGTTTGTTTGTAAAGCGCAGATTGGGACCATTTGGAATTGGAATGCGTCCCCGTTCCCACATGGCAACTCCCAAAAAAAAACACTCCATTGCTCCCCGTCCCCACATGTCAATCTCTTGACATTATACGCGGAATATCGGAAACGTGGTCGTTTAGAATTGGAAAAAACCAAATTGAATACGTACAAGCAAGCAAAGTGTATTGACAGCTTTTAACAAAAAAAAAAAAAAGTGTATTGACAGCTGATTATTAGCCCTTTTTAACTTCATATATATATATATATGAATATATATGTTTTAAATATAAATTTTTATAAGAGGAAGAAAGATTAGAAGGGTAATTTTATCTTTAATATGTTAGGTTTTTAATGTTAGTAACAAATAATTGATGAAAGTTAAAACAACTAGAACCACCAGTCGCTTAAGCGAATTTAGCATTGCTCATCCAGAATATAGCAATACTATTCATTATAAATATAATGTTTTAATTATTATTGAATAACACATTGAATATTTATAGTAATATTATTTAAAAATATAACAGTACCATTAAACATTCTATTTTGAAAAGTGAAAAAATACCATTAAACTATTAGGCCATTCACATAAAATCAAAAAGAAGCAATAGCAGAAAAATAACGTGGAAAATGGTATTTCCTTTGATTACCTATCCAAAATTAAAATAAAGTTTGCATGTGTTTTGAAATAATTTCTCTAATAAGGAAAATTTGACTTTTTAAAAAAGGAAATTAAAAAAAATTTAAAGAGTAAATGAAGAAAAAAAAAGGAAAAAGTTAAAAGAATTATGAAAACTTAATACTTTTAGGGGAGCATAATATATAAATTTCTATATATATGTAAAAATAATTTTAAAAATTCATATATATTATATAAGGTGGGCCAGGCCAGGAGCATGTGTCCCCCTAGACATATGCTGGCTCCGCCCGTGACCCCACGTCTCATCTATTTAAAGTAAGAATATAAAACAATATGGTATCTCAAATAATATATAATAATAATAATAATAAAAATTTTTTATCATCATATTCATATAGTCATTATTGAAATGAGTTTAGAGTTAGTTGTTTATCAATTTTATTTTCTCTAAATCCTTTTTTATTAACTCATAATATATATAGCATGGCATTAAATTTTATTTTGTTTGAAAATAAATACAAAATTATTTCACCAAATCCTAACAATGTACAAAAACTGTGAGGGTCGTGTCAAATCAAAAAGTAAAATAAACACTTATAATTATGCGTATGATATATGTTCGAATATTTGATATCGTTAAATTTGTGCTTCCGACATATAATGTGAAACCGAAGTGATACCTCTTGTAAAGGCAAATAATGTGAAACCGAGGTGGTTTTAATTATAAATACAGCTCGACATAAATTGTAATATAGGTTACAACTCAAAATTCATAAAAGTAACAACTCATTTACGCAGAGATGTTCGGATGTTTTTTTGACAATTGGACAAACATCCGAATTGCGTGGCCCTCTCTCTCTCTCTCTCTCTCTCTCTTTGCTCTTTCTCTTTTTGGACTCTTGTCCACTACCATTACCAAACCCACTTAAAAATTGTATTTTGGAGGTGAGTCATCACATATAAAACCATTTTCGCCGAACCCAAGAGTGAAGAGTTGTAGTGGATGTTGTTCTTTAATGGACAAACTCAGAAAATCCTTTAAATCACTCTCCGATCAAACCCAGAAACAACTAGAAGAACGCCAAGTCCTCTTGAATCAAAACGCCGATCACATTCACATTCACATGCCTCACTCCGTCGATTCCGCTGATCAAGTAGTCATCAAAATCAAAGGCACCGATGCTACCTCGGAAACAGAGCCCACATCACAGACTTCACCGCCCAACAATGGCGCCGAGAAAGCTAGCAAGATTTGGCGAGACGGTAGTTACGATTTCACAAACGATCCGAGTCAACCCAACAACGAGTTTGATTTCTCCACCGATTCATCTCCGTCTCAAAGCCCGCCGGGCTTGACGAGAATCGCAGAGAGTCCAACTTACGCTCAGAGGGAAGTTAGGGTTTCGTTTAACGAGACCATTGGTGAGCCGGTCCGGCGGCGGTCCAATGCAGCCACAGCCGCCGCCTATGGCGGCGAAGAGGACGAGGTGGTGGCGTGCAGTTCGAACTCTTCTTTCCGGCGAAAGTCGGTCTTGTTGAAGACCAAAACGAAGTCGAGGCTTATGGACCCTCCAGAGCAAGATCAGAGATCTCAGAGGATGTGGAAGTCTGGAGTGTTGAAGTCTGAAGTTTTGAAGTCTGGAGTGTTGAAGTCTGGAATGTTGGGCAAAGGAAGTGAACTTGATGAGGATGACCCATTTTTAGATGCTGATTTGCCTGAAGAGTATAGCAAGATGAAGTTAAGTACATTGACTGTGCTTCAATCGGTTAGTTTGATTCTGATTATAGCTGCTTTAGTGTGTAGTCTTTCGATTCCGAAATTTAGGAAGAAGAAATTGTTTAGTCTTCAATTATGGAAGTGGGTGCTAATGGTTCTGGTTCTGATCTGTGGTCGATTGGTGTCTGGTTGTGGAATTAGGATTGTTGTGTTCTTTATAGAGCGTAATTTTCTGTTGCGAAAACGGGTGTTGTATTTCGTGTATGGGTTGAGGAATGCTGTTCAGAATTGCATTTGGTTGGCTTTGGTTTTGATTGCTTGGCAATGTATATTCAACAAAAGAGTTGAGAAGGCGACTAATGGAATAGTCTTGCCTTATGTCACCAAGATTTGGGTGTGTCTTCTAGTGGGTACCTTGATTTGGCTTTTGAAGACACTCTTGGTTAAGGTTCTTGCTTCATCCTTCCATGTGAGCACGTTTTTTGATCGAATTCAGGACAATTTGTTTAATCAGTATGTAATTGAGACACTCTCGGGTCCTCCTGTGATCGAAATTCAGCATGAACAAGAGGAGGAGGAGAAAATCATGGTTGAGGTCCAGAAGCTTCAGAATGCAGGGGCTACTATGCCTGCTGACCTCAGAGCCAATGTTTTTCCGAGGAGTGGGAAAGTGACAGGGAGTGGAAGGCACCAAAAGAGCCCCAAAGCTGCAAAGAGTCCCAGATTTTCTACATCTTTGTCCCTGAAAAAAGATGAGGAGATTTCAATTGACTACTTGCACAGGCTGAATCAGAAGAATGTATCCGCTTGGAACATGAAGAGATTGATGAATATGGTTCGGAAAGGGGTCCTATCGACTTTGGATGAGCGCATACAAGATTCGACTGGTGAAGACGAGTCCTCATTGCAGATCACAAGTGAAAACCAGGCAAAAGTTGCAGCCAAGAAAATATTCTGCAATGTGGCTAAGCCAGACTCCAAGTAAGTTATTATCTGTTTGCCTGTACTGTGCATCACTCAAAAGATATTTGTATTTTTTTTTTTTTTTTGATAAGTAATTTGTAAATATGTATCTTGTTTTTGTTTTTGTTTTATAAGTAAATATGTACCTTGTTATCTTAGTAGAGCGCCGGTTATTTGATTGCTAGATGCATTGCTTTCACTTTCAGTCAATTCATGCATATATCTGTAATTCATGGTTAGTACCTACTTAAATATGAATTTCATTTGTTCCATACTTATCACTTTTTCATGTTAATGAGAGGCATGGCCTCAAATAAGATTCTATACTTAGGTGCAAAGTTTATATAACATCTCCAAATTGAAATTGAAAGTCACAGTCTAGAAAACTATATCTACTTCATAAAAGCTGTAGTTGTGGACTATTTTTCCTGGACATTGTATGATCTTATTGTCAAGAATTGGAGTAACATCTACAGTCTATGTCTTTTTTTATCCTTTGTTATCAGATATATTTGCTTGGAGGATCTTATCCGCTTTATGACAGAGGATGAAGCTTTGAAGACCATGCAACTTTTTGAAGGAGCAAGTGAAGGCAAGGGTATCAGCAAGCGAGCTCTTAAGAATTGGGTGGTAAATGAAATCTTCGTATTTTCCCTTCATTTTCTTGTCCTTGCCGCATGTTGATAATAATTAAGTTAATATTCTTGTATCATAATTGAATGAATTTTTGGTTGTGCTCTCCACCACTGCAATTGGATGTAGTGAGAAGGGAGCAAATATGCAAAACCATTTGTGCTTGTACAAAGATATTTAACATAAACTCTATTAGTATTTATCAGAAAACTATTTTAGATGAGAAAGTAACAGAAAGATTGATATATCACATATTTAATTGAAAACACAATAAAGTATGCAATGATGCCACATAGAACTATATTCTCGTCTTGTCACTGTCAAGGTTGTGAGCAACCAAAACTAGACCGTCTCATCATGATGCGTGGCAAGTTCACTTCAGAAACAATTATTTTACTGAAATGTCCTAAAAAAGACCTTCAGGACTTCACAAGATGACATTATTATTTATTTTCGTTTTTATGAATAACAAAATGAGACTTTTTAATAAGCCCATAATTTATTTAGAATATAACAATTCTAGTGATTTTTAGCTGAACCAACTAACATGCCTAAGTCAAGCTAAAAAACTTGTCTTTTTCGCGTTCCCATCCAGAATGTTTTGATCAGATCATTTTACTATTTTCTCTGATGGTGCCCCATCTATAGAGTCATTCGATACGCAAGCCATATGTACATTGCAGTCCAAAGTCAATAATATACAACAATCCTAATATAGTGTCATGATCTTTACCCTCCAATCCAATCAGACCTTTTTTATTTTTTATTTTTCCTTTTAGTAATACACACACCCACATCCACATTGGGAAGTAGAGGAGATGGCAATAGAGCTAAGCTCTTGGTGGTGTCAAGCAACCAAACTTGATTCAGCTGAGCTGGGTTAGGGTAGAAAAATCTACACTTCAAGTTGATTTTAAGATAGGATTGCTTTTGTATATGTTAACCTTTGATAAATATGAAACTGTTTTAAACCCTTTTTTCCAGGTTAATGCATTCAGAGAAAGGAGAGCCCTTGCATTGTCTCTCAATGATACAAAGACGGCTGTAAACAAACTCCATCATATGTTGAATGTCGTTGTAGGGATCATCATATTGATTATTTGGCTTCTTATACTTAAAGTTGCAAAAACCAGTTTCTTTATCTTTTTAAGCTCACAACTTCTTTTAGTGGTTTTTGTGTTTGGAAACACATGCAAGACGACATTTGAGGCAATCGTCTTCTTATTTGTAATGCACCCATTTGATGTAGGCGATCGTTGTGAAGTGGAAGGAGTTCAGGTAAATGATATCTTACATAAAGGTGTGATTACTAAGTCGCTTTCTATTGGATTTTTTTGAGTTTCTGACTTCTGTTTCTGTTTCTGTTTCTTTTGGTCTCAGATGGTAGTTGAAGAGATGAATATATTAACTACTGTCTTTCTGAGGTTCGATAACCAAAAGATCATATATCCAAATAGTGTGCTAGCTACCAAGTCTATTGGTAATTACTATCGTAGTCCAGATATGGGAGATGCAATTGATTTCTGCACCCACATCTCAACTCCCTTGGAAAAGATCTCTATGATGAAGGAGAAAATAATGCGGTAAGTATGGAGATGTATCTCCTTTCTCAATAACTTCTTCCTCCTTTCTTCAATTTGTGCGGCAAAGTCAAAACGGTTTTGTACGTTTTAAGTGATGATTGTGTCAACTCAACGAGTTAACCAAATTTTACTCTTGCTTTGAATTTAGCCCAAATCACACCTACCAGACTATAATTAAATATCAAGAGTCGGAGACATAATGGTTGTTCATAACATATTGCTTTTCTTGATGTCTCCCATGCGGCAAGGCAAGGCCAGTCTGGCTTACATATATATAATGAAAATAATAATAATAATAATAATAATAATTTCCATGACTGGGCTTTTTAAGTCTGTTCTGTGTGTTAATCAGACAAAGTTTGCTCAAGTAATTCTAGTTTGTCTGATTTATTGTTTGTTATGGCTGGTTCATTTACAGGTGTATTGAAGACAACTCCGACCACTGGAACCCTGCTCCAATGATAGTCATGAGGGATTTAGAGGACATGAACAGGTTAAAATGGTCAATTTGGCTGTCGCACAGAATGAATTTTCAGGACATGGGTGAGAGGTGGGCAAGGAGAGATCTCTTGGTAGGGCAGCTGGTCAAAATGTTCAAGGAGCTCGATATTCAATACCGTATGCTGCCCCACGATGTGAATGTCCGCAGCATGCCATCTTTGACTTCAACCAGACTTCCTTCGAATTGGACAGCATGTTAAAGCTATCTTACATGAAGATCAAGCTACTTTTGAAACACTGATGACAAATAGCAGTGTTCAAAGCACTGGTGGAACGGGTAAGAGTTAATTTCCTAAAGAATTGTGGGATTTAGGGTAGTGATCTGTGGGCATTTATGCTCTATAATTAGAGAAAAAAAGTGAAGATATTTGAGGCTTTAAATATGATAGTTTACAAATTATTTAGTTTTCTTTGTATATTGAAATTTAATGCTACAATTAACATGTCGTGAACTTTCAACTAAAACGCATGAATGTTCTGGTAAATTTGTCCTGTGAATATTCTGGAGTAATGAGTTACTGCATTTGCCTTTTCGAAATGGGTGGACCCGGGGTGGGGTCATGTGTCGGCCTAATTCGTTATGGAGCGCCATGCTGTGGGCCCAGATATTCTCAATAAAGGCCCATTGGTGCAGGCCACCTGTTGGGCCCACCCGAGGATTGTTTCGATGTCTTTTGTTTCTTTTTCATTTTACTCCATTGTGATGTTGAGATTTTTTAATTTTACAAGGACCTTGTGATGTGGATAACCGTTGGTTTTGTTAGGTGGCCAATTCTATTTGTGTAGGATAAAAGTTTTTCAAAATTTCATGAGATACACTTTTTTTTTCTTTCTTTCTTTATGAATTTAATACTGCTTCTAGTATCATTTTTCTAAGATTATAATCAGGTTAGTCCACTCATTCCATGAATTCTAAAAGAAAAAGGATTTGGATCCTTCTCTGTATTATCCTAAGTTAAATTTTCTACATAATGACATGTGTCATTAATATATATCTACGACCTATATCCATCTTAAGGTAAAAAACTTTATGAAGAAATTTGTAAAATTTATAAAAAATTTCCACATTTATTCAGGAAAAAAATATATATTTATAAAATTTAAGTTTTGAGTGAGCATGATATCAACAATATGCGCACACTATTGATATTGAGAAGCTAAAGAAAGAACATGGGCGATGTTGGTGTATCTCCTGGAGTGTCAGAAAGGCTGTGCCCATAACAAAAGTAGGAAGCGTATTCTCCACAAGGTCGAAGATTTGCCATTGACTAGAAATATGACCTGGCCGACCTCCTCCTCCTTATAATAGTTGCCACAGGGAAGGGTGCAGAAGAGGCCCCGAAAATCCCAAGTTGTGGCGCGATCTCACCAACTTCAGCAAAGAAATATCATATAGTCAGAATAAGGGTCATTAAATTAAGGTCTCATTATTTAGAAATATCAAACCTTTGCCGGTAATAACTAGATACATTTTTATACTAGAAAAATCAACGTGCCATGCACGTGATGAGAAATGATTATTGATTTTTTTTTCTTCTAGAAATTGCTTTAGATTCTTTTTGCAGTATAATGAAGAAATTGACAAAAAAAAAAAAAAAAAATGTATATCTAACATCTTAATATTAATAAACATGTTTGTGTTTGTTAAATACTTAATCAAGTGATTTAATAATTAGAGATATATTGAGTAGACTCATTAAGAAGAAGAGGATAAATCATCAATAATGACATCAAGGAGCCATGAAGCTCTTATCTAGCTAACTCGTGTCCCACTATTATATAATCTGGGACACCAAACCAGTTAAAGACCGTTTAACTGAAATTTTATGTCTTCAACAACAATGAATCAGATGTCTTAAGGGTAACTCCTCTCTTTTCTATCACCTTTGGAATAAACCAACTAATAATTAAAAATTATTATTATTAATTTTTTTTTTAAAGAAATGCTATCAAATTCAAACCACAAATTCTATTACAAACTTTAGATAATAAAGTTAAAAAGTATCTCCATAAATATCAGCAATAGGAAACGGAATTACTTACTCTAAAAGTCTTTGATATAATTATGTACATTAGTGAATTATGATGTAAGGTGTGCTGGCTATGTACATTAGTGAATTATGATGTAAGGTGTGCTGGCTAATTGTCAAGAATCTAAACACACGCCTGAGATCCTCCTAATTATATCGTATCTAAATCTATGTCACTTCACACATGCATGCTGGGCATGAGAATTTTCTTTTCTTTTTTTTCCATAATCCAATTTTTTGTTAGAAGAGGTGTTAATTTGAATGTGAATGCAATTCCTTCATTGTTAAAACTTGGTATAAAACTTACATAGGCGTGAATTTTTTTCATTTATTATAATTAACTACACATGCCATGTCCAAAATTGTAAAATATGCAAACAATTTATATATACGGATAAAAATGGCACAACTGTTCACTTTGACAATGAAAGATATATTAGTGAATTTGTTATATCTACTATCATTTATTTTTATTGAAAAATAAAATTTCAATTCTAATTTCATTAGAGATGTGATTTAACTTAATTACGTAACCATCAATGTAAGAACTAAGGAGAATAGGAAATTGGTTTTAAAGGTGTTTGAATTTAAAGCTAATTCTTTATCAACAATCTATCCAGTTTTAAAAAATATTAGTAATTTGTTTAGTTTAGAAAGGTGTTAAAATGTATATAATACTTTCTTAAGTCCAATAGAAAGAGATATATATGTGTGTGTGTGTGTATATATATAATCCAAAAAAAAAAAGAAAAGATGTAATAATATTAATTTGGATTAGGAAGAGACTTAAAATGATAGGACGAATATTAAAATGTTAAAATTTTTAAACACCAAGGAAACCAATATATATATATATATATATATATATATATATATATATATAGTAAAAGAAAAAGAAAGAAAAAAACCTGAAACTTACTGGGTGATGCATCATTGAGGCCAACTTGTGTATCTACCATAAATCCATAGACCAAAGTGTCTACTCCGGTTTGATGCCTATTTGATATTGTGAAGAATTAATCGGATTATTTGATGTGAGTGGAAAGTTGAGGTAGACTAATTTGATATCAACCTCGTTTTGTCTTTCTTCTATTTCAATGTTTTCATGTCAAAACTTTCTATTGAATTAGTTCTTTCCTAACTTATATATATCACAATCAATCGATGTGCAACTTTTGCCGAACATTTGTGTTCCTTAAAAAATGGAAGCCATGAACGTATGTGTTCCTTGAAGAAAGGAAGCAATGTGCAGATCAATATAATGAAACGGTGCGTGTTTCTAAATTAAATTATTAATAACAAAAATTTAGTCCAAAAGGTATTAATTCACTGTTTTATTTGAAATACAAAGTAATATAAAATTGTTAAAAATATATATAAATAATAAAAAATGTTTAAATTTCATATTAGATATCCTATCTTATGATAGAACCAATAGATGTGAAAGTTTTGCCAAAGTTTGCGTCCCTTGGTAAGAGATGAAAATGGTACGTGAAAATCATTTAAAAATATTTTTTAATTAAAATAAGTATTTTAAAGTGTATATAAATATTATATATTGAATCCACTTTTATTAGTAGTATAGATAGATTCAGATGTAAATTGAAGTATAAATGGTTAAGATATTTTAAAACTTTTCTATCTTAAAATGGTGCAGTTTCCTAATTTTTATTAAATTAGTTAAAAATAGTAGAAAATAAGTCATAAATATATCTTAAGAGAGTAGAAAATTTAACTTAAGATAATAGAAGAGTTTTAACTTAGAGAATTCAAGTCCAAAGAAAAAATTACTATCATTATTAATATCGAATGAGTGAATGGTGGAGACCAATAGATCTTTCCATAACTGAACGGGTAATTATGATATTTGGAAATAGTGAAGTGCAATTGTAAAAAAGTACCTCTATATAAAAAAAAAAAAATTAAATAATAATATCAATTATTGTGTTAAATAATTTTCTTTTGAAGACCATACAAATTATTGAGTTACCTATAAAAATTGATATTATTAGTACATGTGTTTTTCACCAATTCCTTTCTTTGAGAAATTAGTTACACCAAGTTAAACATTCTCTAAATTATTATAAATTCGTATTTTTCACATATTGATACAGATATAAAATTTATTTACTGTTAATTTAAAGTAAGTTTGAAAACTGCAGGGTTTTAAGATTAAAAAAAATATATAAAAACTACACTATTTTGAAATAAGAAAAATTAACCACACTCTAACGCGATTATGTTTATCCTACCACAATTATCCTTTCATTTTTGCATCATTTCTGTACCATTCCATTCCCCTGTTATATAAGTATTATTTTTCTCATTCCTTCCATCCAAATCTTACCAAATGGGGTGTTAATATTTCCGCATTTCTTGGATAACAAAGAATTAAGGGATGTATTAAGAGAATAAAAAATATTCAAAAAGTTAAATTTAATTTGCTTGGGTCTTATTACTTTTAGTATAAATTAAAATTTAAAATATTAAAAGAGGGACAGAAAGTTTTTTGTTTTTTTCTTTTTACTTGGACAGAAAGTTGGATAAATTCAATCTTGATAATTTTCCTATGAAATAAGAAAAAAGGAAAATAATAATAATAAAAAATCATATGATATGATATCTAATACTTTTATGAAATTTTGTAAAATATTATAAGGGTAATTACACTTACCTTCCCTAGAGTTAAGGATAATTACAGATATTTTTTACGTTTAACCTTCTTGTTTCGTTATAACACCTAACCCTTTCCGATGAAAGTTAACACCGGTCAATGGCCATTTTTGATGACATCAGTCATTTTTAAATATGAAATACTTCGTTTGCCCTAAACAAATTATAAAGACATTTTCATTTTTATTTTTTTACTTAAAATTACTTATATACCCCAATTTTATATGCCCTCCAACACCACCCACCTCAACAAGCCCTAGACTCATACACTCAACCACAAACCCTAGAAACAGATCGAGACCCAATTCCGTTGCCGACAAGCTTGTCATCGCATGAAAATCAGCATAGCCACCGTATGGATGAGATAAATAGTCGACTCAACTTCTATCGCCGGCAAGCTTGTCGGCCGCACAGCCACCGTGGATGGAGCTCATGCGCCGGCACCGTAATCCGATCAGTCTGCATCGATGGTGGCGCTACTGATTTTGCAGGGCCGGCGGCGAGGGTCTGTTAAGGCCGGCAACGACATGGTCTCCAGCGGCGGCGACGATGTGGTGTTGATTGTCGTGGTGGAGGAAGAGGAGTGCTGTAGAGGGAAAATCCATATATAATACATATATATATATACTGATTCGCCGTGGGAAGAAAAAAAATCTCTCCATATATAATAATACACACACATATATATACACACTGATTCGCGGTATATTGTCCCAAATCGGCGACTTCACTTTCTTCTCCACGACTCTTAAGCAATCCACCACAGAGGACATCTCTGGCCTCTTCTCCGCTGCCGATCTTACACACCTGGCATGAAATCCACCACAATTAATCTCCTCTCATTCGAATCAACACCAAAGCCTCTTAAGGTTTCGAATTCTCTATTGAATCTGGATCTCGTTCTATGCAGGACTGTTGATTGTGTCCAGGGTTGTGGTCCTCTGGACGGCGGCGATGAGCTCGCCGTCGTCGACGACGGCTTTGAAAACAGAGCCGTGACTGCCTTGCCGAGAAAGCTATGGAAGGAGGAGCCAGTGGCGGCTGA